TTGCTGTAACATAACATATAACACGATATCTGAGAACCCAGAATACTCGTGACTGCGGAACATGTTATGCACATCTTCATCGTCTCGCACCTTTAAAGGGAAAAACTTGCATGAATCAGGTCCGCCAAAAAATACTGGGTTTTTGTATATTATTTGCCCAACTGGACCACATTGCAGTTTTTTTCTATTCTTGACTTCAGGTGTAAAAAATTAGACCTTCTGTCAATTAAAAACTTTGTAACCTCCGTGTTTCTGAAATTGTATCCCGACACTTCACATTCGAAAACTTCACCGTTTAGATGAGTGGAAATCATATACTGTGGTGTTTGAGACATAGCGAAAATTGTGGTGTTTGAGTGTTTGAGTGTTTGAGTGTCTGAGTGTTTGAGGTTCTGAGTGTTTGAGTGTTTGAGTGTCTGAGTGTTTGCGTGTTTGAGTGTTTGAGTGTTTGCGTGTTTGAGTGTTTGAGTGTTTGAGTGTTTGAGTGTCTGAGTGTTTGAGGTTCTGAGTGTTTAACGTGTTTGAGTTTAAAGAGTTTAAAGGCTTTATAACATGGGCTGAGTGTTTTCTTGTTTAAAGACTTGAAAGATTTTTTTTACATGTATCAGTAAATGAATCTGTAATTTTCACATGTGACCCTGCGAATCAATGACCATGCATCAGGACTCTTTTTGCATGCACCAGGACACTTGTCACGCATGCTTCACAATTAATGACATGCATTAGGACTTGAACATGACACTTGATAAGACGTGACAATGCCAAGTTCTGCGTTCACATGTGATACCGCATCAGGAATCTCTGCCTTTCACTTCTCACGCATGCTCCACAATTAACGACATGCATCAGGACTTGAACAAGACACTTGATAAGACGTGACAATGCCAAATTCTGTGTTCATATGTGATACCGCATCAGGAATCTCTGCCTTTCACTTATCACGCATGCCTCACATTCAATGACACGCATTAGGAATCAATGACATGCATCAGGACACTATTCATGCATGCGTTTACAACCATCAAAACCTATCATCCATAAAAAAAAACAATATGTCCTTAATTAAGAAAAAAACACAATATGAAAAAATCACACTACGCAATCAATGACATGCAGCCTGTTTGATTAGACGAGACAATGAAGGAATCTCATTTTCACATGTGTTCCTGCATGCCTACATTGACCATGCAGGCCTACGAGACTCTCTTTCTGCATGCATCAAGACTTGATAAGACGGGACACTACATCCACCATGCTTGATTAGACGAGGCACTGCATAAAAAAGACTCAGCATCCAACATGCATTTACACATCACATGCTTCATGACACTAGTCCAGAAATGCATTTACACAACACATCCATCACGACACTAGTCCAACATGCATTTACACAACACATGCTTCAAGCCACTCGTGGAATATAAATATAGGGTCTTTACCCATCAAATTATACTCACACTTAAACCCTTCTTTCCTACTCTCAACCCTCAGCTCTCAACTCTCAACTTCTCAACTCTCAACCTCTTAAACTCTCAACTCTCAAACTCTTAAACTCTCAACTCTCAACCTCTTAAACTCTCAAATCTCACAAACTCTCAACATCCCAAACGACAATGTCTCTACTCACCATGGGTGACGCTCACAAAGGGACAACTGAAAACATCGCCCCGTTTGTAAGTCTTTTGTTATTGTCTATGTTTACAATTTTGTCTATAAAAACGTTAGTACTTTTACTTCTTCTCTAACGTAACATTCATTATTCTGCAGGATGTATCAAGGTTTCGATGTCGTGTGCATGATTACATACCACACGACCCGCTCATTACGAACTACCTTACTCAATATGGGTTTGGTGATTTGATCGAAATCAAATCTTACTCCCTCGACATGAAATTTATTCTAGCGTTGTTAGAACGCTGGAGACCGGAGACACATACATTTCACCTACCTCTTGGTGAGTGTACTGTGACTCTTCAGGACGTTTACATGTTGCTCGGCCTACACATCGATGGTAAGGCCGTCAACGGCAAAGTTGGTGTCCCTGACCAACTTTGCGAAGATTTATTGGGCGCCCCTCTTTGTACGGACGGACCTCAGGCGGAAAGCGAGGGCCGCCCGAGGGGTCAGGGAATAAATTTAAAATACCTTAGAGAACAATACAATTGTATTGTCTTAACTGATGATAGCACCGAGTTTGAGAAAATACAAAAAACTCGATGCTATATTATGATTTTATTCGAGCACTTTTTATTTCCAGATGGCACTGGAAATACCGTCCATACTATGTATTTACCATTATTGCGCAATATTAACAAAGTGTGCGAATATAGCTGGGGATCAGCTGTCCTCGCCCATCTATATAGCGCACTTTGTAAAACTTCAAAAAAAATTCCTGCACTTTTTATGGTTGTGCTTATCTTCTGCAAGCGTGGGGTTGGTCTAGGATGCCAATGCTTGCTCCAATAAACAGGAATTCTTTTACGTTCCCGTACGCCAACAAGTAAGTATCTTTTCAAGATTATTTAGAAACTACATATTCTTTTTCAGTTAATAATTTCTAAGATGTGTTTATTTTTTTAGGTGGTCTGTTCTAGGGATGAATTATCAGAGATGTCCAAGGCACTCTATAATTCAATACCGCAACCTAATCGACCACCTTGGCCCACATGATGTTAGTTATTTACCATTAATTTTTTTTAATGTATATGCATATACCTCTCAAACTTTGTCTAACTTAATTTTCCAACTTTATTGTAGTTTGTCTGGATGTCGTACGAGGGTCTCGACCACGAGCCCAACCCCGACGATGCCACTGTGTGGACAGCAAAGACACCCATAATTAGGTTCACTACGGTGGAGATGCACCAAAGTGACCGGGCGAAACTACAATTTGGGATGCATCAGGATATTCCAGATGCTCTAGTAGACTTGGGGCAGTGGCATCAAAAGCGGGTAGACGCACAGTGGAGTGTCAGTGACTAGAAGGAGTTTGCGAAGGAGTTGCATATACACTGGAAAAGAAGAAGGCAATATGTCTTAACCGACGGTATTGTGCACGGGGTTAGGCCAGGTCTTCAATATATGACTATGTTTAGGTTTGTCACGACATCTCCGCCTTTCTTGTCGCAGCTAACCTATTTGGCCGACCCAAGGGAACGCGATTCTTCGTCAAACCCATAACAATAGTTCAGTATCCAAAACCAGGCTTACGAAAACTCATACATGCCAACAAATACCCCCTATCAACAACGACAACCTTACATGTCAACCACTCAATCCCAGCCTCAACCACCTTACCATTACAGCCCTGATACGTCTTTTGAGCCTACCCCCTCCAACTATAGCCCAGACACCTCATTTGACCCAACCCATCCAACTACCCCTCCAACTACCCCTCCAACGACCCCCCAAACTATCCATTATTCGACTACCACACCCTGTAACAACCAACACACCTAGACCAACCCAACTCCATGTACACATTCGGACAACCATACCGTCCATACTCCACCCAACCTCCCCGGCAATCCTTCGAAAACATGGGCATCAGGCTTGACTACGGAAGCGCTGTTGACAGTGGACCTCCCGGCTATTGGGGTCAAATGATGCAAACTCTATCTGATACGTCGGGGCCGTCCCAACCATACCCTCCTCCACACCTCAACACACAGAGACCGGACACACCACTGCAACCTCCTCGTAGACCTCGTCGCAACGCGCGTCCCCCATAATGTGGCACCGGTGATCACTTGGATAGAGCTGGTCATTAGTTTTTGTCTTTTGTTCAATTGTAATTGTACTTTTCACTAGATTCTAAATTAATATAATTTATTATTTCTATATTTTATTTTAACATTTCTATATTTAATTTTTTCTTAGTGTTATGTAAATTTCAATTAATTATGAAAAACAAACAACATAATTTAATAACATATAATTATTAAAACCTAATTAAAATATTTATTAAAATGTGTATAAATTTAATAACAATTACCATTCACATATTTACACAAACAATTTATTAAAATATTTATACCAACTATAAAAAAATTAAAATTAAATCATAATCAAATTTTAAATTAATTTAATAAGAATTCGTCTTACATTAATAATTATTAATTGAAATAAAATATTTATTAATTGAAATTAATTAAAAATAATATATTTAAAAAATAGAATAAAACATTAATTAAAATTAAAAAAATAATCAATTACTTAAATTTATTAAAATCTGATAATAATATAAATGAAAACGTGGAAACCCTAATCTGATAACACAAACCACACATTCGCCAATTGGGATGGCGAATTGTTTTTTTTATTTTTCAGATTACAAGCTTTCGCCAATTGATGTGGCGAATTGATTTTTTTTATTTTCCAATTTACAAGCTTTCGCTAATTAGAATGGCGATTGGACGTTGATTTGTTGGCCACTTTGAAAATTTATTTCAAATATGCATTATATTGATAAATAAAGTTTAATATGTGATTATTCTAAAAAAAAAATCGAAAACTGATGTTACTTATTCTTTGCGCAAAGCAAGTAGTTGATATAATCATCAAGACCTTACATTCATTCATCTACATGCAGCTTCCCCAAACTGATATTACTTAACATACATTTTAGCAACCCCTTCATAAAATACGATTTTCTAATATTACATTTCTCCTTTAGACAACTTATCCAATGACTACATAAAACTAGGATAAGATATACAAATAAATATACAAATCAATAAATCATCCATTTAGTATATTTATTTGGTTTCACAAATCATTTATCTGTTTAATTAGTGGTTTAGTCATATTGGTGGCAGGAACCTAACAACACAATCAAAGATGGAGCAAGTGAGTTTCTAACAACTCCTTCATCATAAACCTTATCATATTTAAATTTCTAAACCAGTTTCTTTACAAATCTATATATACATAAGTAACAGTTTCACCATTACATACAACAATAACATAAAAAATCTCCATATTAACAAAATCTGATTCAAATGGACTCAGGTAAAGAGGTTGAGGAATCATCAACAGCTCCCATTCTAGAATCCAAGAGGACAAGAAGCAATGGCAAAGGGAAATCCATTGATGTTGGGGATGCTCCTCCACCTGCAGTTGTTGTTACCACAAAAGCTACTCCACTTCGTAAAGGTGGAATGAAAAGGGGAATAGCAATCTTAGACTTCATTCTCAGGCTTAGTGCCATTGGTTCTGCTCTTGGTGCTGCTGCTCTTATGGGGACTAATGAACAAATACTCCCATTCTTCACTCAGTTTCTTCAGTTTCATGCTCAATGGGATGATTTTCCAATGTTTAAGTAAGTTTTAGTTACATAAAAATGATTTTCAATACAATAATAGATTTAAGTATCATTTCAGTCTGCAAATCCTAACTCATCTGGCCGAAGCCGAAAATAAACTTTGGTACTCACGACGATTCTGTGTGCGTTTCTAGTGGTTATTACTATTTCGTTTACGAATAAAAATTGATCACAAACATGCAGGTTTTTTGTGGGAGCAAATGCAACAGCAGGTGGAATTCTCGTCCTCTCCTTACCATTCTCAATTGTCTGCATTGTTAGACCACATGCAACTGGACCACGTTTTCTACTTGTGATCATTGATTTAGTAAGCATTAATCATCATCATCACTATATCTTATTTCAAATAATCATTCAATACTTAACTAGAAAAAAATATATTGACTACAATTGTAGGTGATGATGGCGTTAGTTGTTGCAGCTGCTTCAGCTGCTGCAGCTGTTGTGTTCTTAGCACATAATGGAAGTCAAGATGCTAATTGGAATGCCATTTGTCAACAGTTCGCTGATTTTTGCCAGGGTTCAAGTTTGGCTGTGATTTCTTCTTTTGTTGCTGCGGTTTTCTTAGCTTGTTCGATTGTGGTGTCTTCAGTGGCTCTGAAAAGGAGTTAAAAAGTGATATTGAAGTTTGAGATTGATGGAAGTTAGTTACTGTATTTTTAATGTGTGGTAAACTTGTTTGAGTTTGTGGTTTGTAATTGATGTTTGTATAGTTGAAGTGAAAATTCATGTTCAACGCTAAATTCTATGCTGTAAGTGCCTCACCATTGCATAATTGTTCTTCTTTACAGTCTATGGCTAAAATGCTTCTTTATCTTCTATACAGTCTAGGTAAAGATGGGTTGTTAAATTTCATTTGTTGCCACCAAAATAAACTACTACTATAATTTTATATATCAAAATTTATATAAAATGTTTAAGTTTAAGTTGTAATAAACACAAAACGGAAATAGGACGAGCTAGGGCAAAACAAAACACAATCACGTTGTACTCAAGGAGTCGGCCATCATGGCCAGAATTCCACTGTCGCCATCACTATGTACATGGCGATGTGTGGCCTCACCTACACCAACAACTCATGGCAAGTTCCGATGAATATGTGAAGAAGATGTGTTTACAAAATAATACTTGAGGGGAGAATATTTTTCTATAATTGAATAAAAGACATGACTTTTAAATAGTCTTATCGAAACTGAAACTGAATCAGAGAAAAAATAGGCCACACTAACAAACACTAAATACGTGGGATAATGGCAAAGGAATAGGTAAAAGCAACAACTCACTAGCAGGACTAACATTGCTTATTCTAACCGACAATAAATAAAAGAAAAACTACAATTTTAACATCCTCCCTTAAACTGATTGTTACTAACAATCAGTTTACTACTGGTTGTTGACACACTCCCAATAGGTTGCGCAATTTCACAAAAGCATCAAGTTTCAAAGGCTTTATCATCACATCGGCCACTTGTTCTTGAGTACTGTAGTGAGCTAGTTCTATGATTCCATCCTTTGCGAGTTCACGAAGAAAATGGAAGCGAACATCAATGTGTTTGCTACGACCATGCATTATAGGATTCTTAGCAAGTTTGATTGTTGAGTTGTTATCACAATAAACAGTTGTTGAGCTGTTTTGAGTATGTCCAAGCTTCTCTAAAATCTTTCCCAATCAGACAGCTTGACAAGCACAAGTAGATGCAGCAATAAATTCAGCTTCTGTAGTAGATAAAGATACTACAGGCTGTTTTTTTGATAACCAAGATATTGCAGCATAGCTCAATAGAAACACATATCCTGACGTGCTTTTTCTATCATCCAAGTCACCCGCATAATCACTATCAGTGTACGCGACCAACTCTTCATTTCCGCCCTTCTTATAGAACACACCATAATCAACTATCCCTTTTAAGTATCTTAAGATTTTCCTTGCTGCTTGCAAATATAGTTTAGTAGGATGCTCCATGTACCTACTTATGAGGCTAACAGCAAACATAACATCCGGTCGAGTAGTCGTTAAGTACATAAGGCTTCCTACAATCTGCTTGTAGTAAGTACTATCTATCTTCATGCCATCTTGATCCTTTTGAAGCTTCTCTCCGGGAACCATTAGATTAAGAACAGAATTACTTTTGCCCATTCCAAATCTCTCCAACACTTCCATCACATATCTTTTTTTACTAATGAATATGCCATCGGTATTTTGCATTACTTCAACACCGAGAAAGTACCTCATTTTTTCCCAAATCGGTCATATCAAACTCAACCATCATGGATTTTTTGAATTCAGCATACATTGACTCATCATTGCCAGTGAATGTAAAATCATCAACATACAAGCTTATAATTAGAATTTTACCTCCAACACTCGTCTTGACAAACAAAGTGTGTTCATGAGTGCATTTTTCAAAGTCTTCCTTCAAAAAGCATGATTCTATGCGACTGTACAAAGCTTGTGGAGCTTGTTTCAGTCCATAAATTGCTTTGTTTAACTTGTACACCTTATGCTCATTGCCCTTAATTTCATATCCGCAAGGCTGTTCCACAGAAACTTCTTCATTGAGTACACCGTGCAAAAATGCCGACTTTACATCCAACTGATAAACGGTCCATCCCCTTTGAGCAGCAAGTGAAAGCACTAGTCGAATTGTATCCAATCTTGCCACTGGTGCAAAGACTTCTTTATAATCAACTCCATATTTTTGAGCATACCCTTTTGCTACAAGTCGTGCTTTGTATTTGTCTATTTCTCCATTCTCATTAAGCTTTGTTTTGAATATCCATTTCACTCCAATTTTCTTTCCACCAGCTGGTAAATTTGTTAACTCCCAAGTGTCATTCTTCTCTATTGATTCTAATTCCAAATCCATGGCATTTCTCCATTTTTAACTCTTCACAGCTTCTTCAAATGAAATTGGGTCAGCACCTGCAAACATGGCCATGTTAGTCATGCTTTCTTCTTCTTCTGACAATCCTTCTCCACTTTCATAATCCCTCATCCACACAGGTTGTCGTATTATTCTTCTATTTGAATCTTGCCGACTTTCTTCAATTGACTCGTTTGAATCAGAGTGATTAAGTTCTCCTTATGTTTCTTCATTGATGCTTGTATCATTTTCTGCACTTGCAGCATTGACAAATTTATCTTGTTCATCTTCCCACTCAAAATTTGCTTTGATGTTTTCCTCATGTCTCTTATCCCAATCCCAACTTTTATCTTCTTCAAAAACAACATCTCTACTAACAATAATCTTATGAGAAATTGGATCGTACAACCTGTATGCCTTTGATTCTTCACTTACGCCAAGTAGAACACAACTAGTACTTTTATTGTCTAGCTTTGTTCTTTTTCTGTCAGGTACGTGAACATGCGAAACACATCCAAAAACTCTAAAGTACTCAACTGATGGCTTTACATCACCCCAAGCTTCTTCATGAGTCTTGTTTTTCACAGCAACCATTGGACATCGGTTTAATACATGAACAGTCCAATTTACATCCTTGGGCCAAAAATTCCTTGGAACTTGTTTCTCATACAGCATGCAACAAACCATGTTCGTAATGGTTTTGTTTTTCCTTTCTATTACACCATTATGTTGTGGTGTATATGCAACCATCAATTGCCTAGTTATACCATTCTCCTTGCAAAATTCATTAAATGCTTGTGATGTAAATTCACCACCCCTGTCAGTACGCAAACATTTGATGAATGTATTTGTTTCTTTCTCCACATGATTTTTAAAGCTTCTAAAAGTGTCAAAAGCTTCAGACTTTTCTACTAAAAAATATACCCATGTTTTACGACTATAGTCATCAATGAAAGTGATTAGGTACCTCTTTCTGCTATTTGAAGCTGGTGTAATAGGTCTGCATATGTCAGCATGTATCAACTGTAGGATTTGAGATGCTCTCCACGTGCTCACTTTAGGAAATGGATCCCTCTGTTGCTTTCCTGCAAGGCATTCTTTACAAATTTCAAAGGGAGGTTTGAGTTGTGGCAGACCATTCACCATCCTTTTTTGCTCAAGAATCTTCAAGCCTTTAAAGTCTAGATGTCCAAATCTATAGTGCCATAACTAACTTGAGTCTTCAGTGATTGTGTTGAAACAAGCCGATACACTTGACTGGGGCTGAACCGGCAAAATGAACATTCTGTTTGAGGACATTGTTGTTTCCATGATCAAGCCTTTCTCCTTATGATAGATCTTGCATTTTCCATGTTGAAACATGATTGTTAACCCTTTTTTCTTGTAGTTGACCAATGCTCAACAAGTTGTTCTTTAGCTCAAGTACATAGAACACAATACTAATGATATGTGAGATTCCATTCAATTTAAATCTCACAATTCCTTTTCCTTTCACAGCCATGCTGGAATTGTTTCCCAACTTCACAGTTTCACTAAAATTTTCATCCAAATCAAAGAATACTTCCTTCTTACCACACATTTGATTACTGCACCCTGAGTCAAGGAACCATGCTTCTTCCTTAACTGATTCTTTATTTTCCATGAATGCCATCAAAAGCATTTCTTCTTGAAATTCTGCAAAATTGACTTCACTCCATTTGCTTGGACACTCATATTGAAAATGTCCAATTTTATGGCAGTAATAACACTCCACAATGAACTTGTCAAAGTTTAACATGCCCCTTCCTCCTCCTCGTCCGCAAAATCCTCCACGACTGCAACCTCTTGTCCTATTTTCATAGGTTACTTTCAAGGCTTGCTCTTCAATAAAAGGAACATTCATGCGTTGCTCATGCACCAGCAGGCTACTTTGCAGTTTGTCAACCGATAAGGCGTCAACGTCATTCGACTCCTCAATAGAGCAAACAACATAGCTGAATTTTGGAGTCATGGACCGCAAAAAAATTTCAATAACAAAAACATCTCCCATAGTCTCTCCATGAGTTCCCATCTTGTTCGCTATGGTGAGGGTTCGAGAAAAGTACTCGTTCACCGATTCTCCAGCTTTCATCGGCAGGATTTCAAATTCCCTTTGAAGTGCTTGTAATTGTGCTCATTTAACCCTTGACGTCCCTTGATACTTTTGCTTTATTGAGTCCCAAATGTTCTTTGATGTTTCTTTCTTTAAGATTATCTCCAAGATAGATCTATCAATTGCTTGAAAAAGATAATTTTTTGCCTTTAAATCCTTGAGTTTCTGATCTTCAATAGTTTTTCTTTGTGCCTCAGTTGATTTTGCACCCCCAACTGCTGTAGGGATCCCATTTTTAACCAAACTCTAGTATCCTTGTGTCGCTACTGCGAAAATCGGCGCCGGCTTGACAGGAGAGTCGCCACCGTGTGTTATTTATCCCTCAGAGCGGGAAAGGAAACGCTCGAAGTAAACCTCGCAAAAGACGGGAAAAGGTATGGTCATCGCAACCAAACCTGGATTCGGGAGTCGGTTACGCAAGGGGAAGGTATTAGCACCCCTCACGTCCATCGTACTCGATGGGATCCACGCTTGGTGTTTATAAGGAAAAGGGGGTGTTTATCTATCTACGCTAATGGTCAGTCTGAAAAGAAAAGGAAAAGACAGGACTCGACAGAACATACGGTGTTCTGGGCCTACGTACTCCCTCGTGCAATGGGAAAGTCAGAGTCAACGTA